CCAGGCGCCGAGGGGGTACGGCGCTGCCACCCTCACGCTCTCGCTCAACCCCCTTACGATAGCGAGCCTCCAGAGCCCCGAGCCTCCAGAGCCCCGAGCCTCCAGAGCCCCGAGCCTCCAGAGCCCCGAGCCTCCAGAGCCCCGAGCCTCCAGAGCCCCGCACAACAGCAGAGCGGGGCAAGAGGGCAGTAAACGTGTGCCGGCCGGTGGAGAAAGCCCCAGGCTCAGTTTAAGCCCTCCAACGTGGCGACGTCCCAGAGTTACGAGGAGGAAGGGTTTGTTACTGTGCAGGGCGGCCTAGAAGCGAGGGCCTTACGCCCAGCTTTCGAGAGGCGAGTCGCTGGAGAGAGAGGTTTGTGTGGGGATCACTGCTCCTATCTCGCGTCACAGGCGCGCTGCGAGGTACAGATCAGCACCTGCAGAGAACCGATCCAGGAGCGGGGCACACCCGGCCTGTCCCCTGCCCACGAGGGACCAGAGCCATGCTCGGAGCCCCAAGTTACATCGCGGCGTCTCCCATCCCGAGGAGGAGGTGCCCGTTTCTCCCAAAGGGCCACACACAAGAAAAACTCATCAGCCCCAAATCACTGTGGGGTTAAGCGCTCCCAGCACTGGGATGAAGACAGAAAGGAAGAGTGAGCTTCCCCGGCTCAAACAGTCAGATTCTCTCCCTTCCTCTCCAGCGTGGCCTCTGCCCTGGCAGCAGCTCTGGGGCACTAGCACTGGAACAAAAGCAGGCGAGAATCCTTTGGAAAAGGACAATGGAAGTTGGAATCCAATTGAGAATTTCCTGCAAACGGCCCAGTAATGAAGTGGTGAACAGCAAAGATCAAAGAGCAAGTTAACAGAGACTGCACGTGTTAAACAAACAGCTTGTTAAGCAAAGGGATGCTCTTATCCCTCTCGATTCTTCCAACCCTGCAGACAGGCGAGCGCCGTTTGCTGCCCTACAGTAATATTTACAGGTTGCTACGAGTTCCTCGAGGTCTGGAGCTTTTCCATCCTGCAGCAGAGAGCTGCGGCGCTCACGCTAGCGAGGCTTTCTGCCGGAGCACCCCCGACTTCCCCGGCCGGTGGCATGCAGCCCACGGGTGTTATATAAGGACTTGGCCCAGAACCGCGAGCCAGACGAAAAGAAGGAGCCTTGAGCCAGCACTGAGAAGCAAGCCAGAGGACATCTGCCTCCAAACAAGGCCAAGGCAATTCTAACTCTGCCCCAAAGTGGAATCAATTGAAGCCGAGAAGCAAAATGGGGGAAAAAAGCCTTCCTAGAAAGTTGCAGCTGGACGGATGGGAAGTTTAATGCCTTCCCTGCTCACCCCAAGCTCACACCGCTCGTTTCAGTCCTCCAACCCTCTCCTGGCCCAGAGACCCCAAGGGCAAACCTGCAGGCGTTTCTACCTGGGTAGCTTTGTCATTCATGCACGAAGCGGCAGCTCCTTCAGCGTCCCGGGGCCACTGTCCCAGCAGGTAGGAGCCCACGATGGTGTCCAGCGAAGAGGTGCGCCGCACACGGGGCTGCCGGGGATGGCAGCTCTTCTCGATGGCGGCAGCACAGGGAACGCTCGCTGGGCAAGGGGAAAGAAACCAACGTTAGCCTTCCTTTAGCACAGCTATCACAGCTGGCAACCCCACGTCCGCCGTGAAGATCACGAGCGGCACGTACGGCCTGGAGAAGTCCGTTTACTTTCTGGAAACCAGCGTCTTGGTGCTTGTAACGTGCCCAGGAATTCCTGCTCTCAGAGCAGCAGCGGCTCTGCCCTGCCAACACCAGGCGGCTGCCCGGCCTCGGCACAGGCAGATGTGCTGCTCCGAGTCAGCCATCGAAAACAAGCACCAACAGAAACGCCACTTCAGTGGAGTGGGCCAGCAAGGGCTGGTGGATGGAGTGCCCAATCCGCCCTCCTCCTCGCTCCTCTGCTCCGGAGAGCCATGTTCCCACTCGGCACCAAGAGCTCGCTTCTCCAGAAGCGGAGATTCTTATTGCAGTCCTTAAGTGGCTGCTTGAAGTCATCGATTAGACATTCCAGGCAAAGCCGAGGGAGCGGCTACACAACCGAGTGAAATACTTGGCACGTCCACACTGCTTTTGCACGAACAGTGTAGAAACCCCGCCACTACTCTGTCTGTGGGGCCGTGTTTCTTACCAGCTGGAGTACCCAGGCCCTTCCCCACAGCAGGGCCCCGCAGCAAAAGGCCACCTGTGTGCCTCAGTTTCCCCAAGGAAGCATGTTGCCACACTTCCAGTTCCAAGGAGGCCCAGAGGACATCTGCCAAGTCTGGGATCCTCTGGCAAGACTATGTGAGCACTCGGTGGGTGCTCAGAAGACCAGAAAGCAGGATGTGCAACCTGTTCACCGTCATCACCCATCGCTGGCAGCTCAAATCCGGGAGCCGAGTCTGCCTGCCTCCCGCCACGGGGCCCGCTCAGACGTTACCCTCACAAGTCCTTAACAGAAAAGCTTTGTAAGCGCGGCTGGTTGAGGTATGTGTCAGCAGCAATGCACACCAGCGCAATCCCAGCGCCAGGACGGAGAACCGAGCCATCCCTCTTGGCAGGCTACGGCAAGGGGAGATGCACAGCACGCGCCCTCCCCGTCTCTTCCACCGCATCCCGCCAGCTCCAAACTGGCCGGGACCACGGCCCAGCCCATGGGCAGACAGCACAGCCACCGTCTCCCCTCGCAGCTGGAAAAGCGTCAGCGCCCAAACCAAAAGGGGAGCAAGAGAGAGGCAAGTTCAAGCCAGCAGCAAAGTCTGTTTGCATTTTCTTTTGATTAGAGATGCAAATTACCACGCACGTTAGCGCCAGCCCCGTGGCCTCCTGGCAAGGTGTTCAGGCCGCGCACAGCTCTGCTCCAGGTGCTCTCCCCTTCCTCCCCACAACGAGGGCATGGCAGGCAGCGAGTCAACGGCGCTAAACCCAACGTTAACGCCGTTAAACACGCCGTTGCCCTTGCCGAACGCCTCTGCGTGCCCACCGCAGGCTCACGGCTCGGACCGTTCCAGGGAGGTGGCCTGTTAACTACAGCTTTTTTTTATCAGCTAAAATACCATTTGAGCAGTGGAATTCAAGTTCTGGGTGAGAAAACAGGTAGGAACAAAGCGCCACGTGGGAGGGCAAGCGAAGCATTGGCCCCTGCACGACAGCCACACCTCGTAAGGTCCACACTGGATTAAAGGCTTCTTGTGTTGGGCCAAGCTGGCATTTCAAGGCCCGCTCCCTGCTCCAGCAGTTACCAGTACGACACCTACCACTGATTTAGAAACTCGTTATTATTTGCAGCTTGCTCCCCAAGGCCTCACTGCCCCCACAGGCTGTACCTGCACCTCCGCTACATACGGCTTCAGCTGCTCTCCCCATCCAGGCTGCTGGCAGAACTGCCATAGGGCAGCCCCCCTTCCCACATGGCCTAGACAGCCCATGTCTCCCCCCCAGAGCTCTCCAAGAGGCTCCCCGTGATACAACCATCAAATCCAGAGGGACCGGGGTCCCTTCGTACTCCAAACCTTCGACAGGGTAACGGTCAGAACCGGCCGGAGCGAGCTCGAGGACAGACACGACCGAGAGCAGAGGAGACGTGGCCTGCTACGGCGCCGACTGCATCATTCGGTACGACGGCTGCCCAACGGCTGAAGCCATTAAGAGAAGACCTGGAGAAGAGAAGGCTCCAGGGAGAACTTACTGTGGCCTTCCAGTATTTATGGGGGGCTTCTCAGAAAGACGGGGACAGACTTTAGCAAGGCCTGTAGTGACAGGGCAAGGAGTGATGGTTTTAAACTCAAAGAGGGAGATTTAGACCACATCTAAGGATTCTTCGATTTTTACGAGGGCAGTGAAACCCTGGCACAGGTTGCCCAGAGAGGTGGGAGATGCCCCATCCCTGGAAACATTCAAGGTCCAGTTGGACAGGGCTGAGCAACCTGATCTGGTTGAAGATGTCCCTGCTCGCTGCAGGGGGGGACACACTAGATCACCTTTAAAGGTCCCTTCCCACCCAAACCCTTCTGTGACTCATGGACAAACAGCAGCAACTGCTGCTCCTTTTCACCAAGTCCAACTCTGCTACCCACCGACTCGGCCTGTTTTCGAGAAGCCCAAAGAGCAGGGGGCAGCCGGGAGACGCAGGGCAGGGTGCTGCCAGGAGCAGCTGCCCCTCCTCAGGGTGCAAAGGCTGCGCGCACAGCGTTTCGGGCACAAGGAGGAGGGTGCGCGAGAGGCGCCGCGGCAGGGTGGAGCGTCCTGTTTACAGCTATTATCATCCCTCGCCCTGAGCCTGCACAGCTGCCACCTGGCCACGAGCTCTGGAGCCCGTCCAAACCCGCTCCACAGCTGAGCGGCGGCAGGTTGTGGCGCTCTTCCTTTTCACGCGACAGTAAAGCTGCTGCAGATAACAGAACCGTCGCCGTATCTCCAGCAGCCACTCGGCCTCCGCGAGGCTTTCACGCAGCCAGAAGTCAGAGGCTGGTGCAACACGAGCATCTGCAGGTAGAAAGTTTTCGGTCCCGGAGGTCTAGATTTGCAGCGTCCCTGGCCTCTCCCAACCACATCAACAGCAGTGAGCTCAGAGCTTCCTAAACAGTCTCTCTAGGCCAGCCCATCTCTGCATCGAAAAAGAGAAAATAAAAGCCTTTAGTGATCTTCTAAAAGTTTCCAGGGTCACTTTCCAATAAAGAATACTCACAGCTCCATGAAAAACCATGGCAAAAGCACAGTTCCCATTGCTACTCTTCAGGAGTTGTGAACTTTTCTTCCTTCCCTCTCCAGATTCCACCCTGAGGAAGTTGACCCTTTAGTATCAGACCGTTTACAAATTTAGGGACAGGCTGTTCGGCCCCTGACATTTTTGGAATCTGGCTCTGCAAAGGTCTATCCTAAAGCAACGAAGCATAAAAATCACAACCCGTGTTTAAATACCAAGTTAACCTTGGCTGAGGCCTCGCCACGCGGGAAGCTTTCCCTGCTTTCTGTAACACCAAGGTGTACCTATCGGGTCTGGATGCAGTTTTCAGTTTATTGGCTCAATTAAAGAGTGGGAAGCTTTCCAGAGAGAGTTTGTCCAGGAGAGTGGAGCTGAGATGGCACCTAAGCAACTGTCAGTAACGCATCTTCCCCCCCAGTGTCGCACAAATTACTGCTTATTACTTAAGTTACTGTATCAACTTCCCCCATCTACCCCTTTTCAATGCCCTTTACACCACCACACGGTATTCAGATGATGCTCCTGATCTGGGGAATGGAGCAGTAAGATAACCAATGCTTAAGCTGAATTTCTCATGGGCCTGTCAAACCACAGCAGGACCCTGTGACACAAACAACTTGTAGACAAAATATTCCCATCAAACCAGGCTGCTGGATGTGTATCACTGCCCCTCCCACACCCCAGCACCACCTCCTTGATCTTCAACATCTCCCTAGACAATCTAGCTGGGAGATCTCGGTACCAAACTTCTGCACAACGGCGACTCGGACGCGGTGCAGGTGGCAGAAGGGACACGACGCTGGCGTTGTTGCGGTGGCAGAAAGGAAAGGAGCTATCCCACCACGCTGGAGCGCTGAAAGATGAACATAAGGGGCTCTTAAGGAGCTACAGCTCCAACCAACAGCTTTGGCACGGAGCAGCTCTTGGCTGCAGCATCTGCAGCGGATGGAGCAGGAGGCGAGGCTGGTACAGCCCGAAAGCCAGGGTCTTCCCTTCGATTTCAAACATACCTGGACAAGAGAAACACGTGGGACTTGCAGCAGATGAGCACAGCGATCCGCAAACCGTGGCGGGAATCGCACCCTGCAAGAGGGCACTCCAGAAAACCCATCTGAGGCCCAGGCCCACTCGGCTGGGCATTGCCGGTGCAGCGAGCGGTGGCGGCAGCACGAGTGAAATAAAGATCAGAACCAAAGCTTCAACACTACGACCCGTTTCCATCTCGTTTCTGTTCCGCTGCAGTTCCATCATAGTGAATCGGTACCTGATGCGCTGTGGCTGAACAGCACACAAGTTTCTCAGCAGCAGGGAAGCTCCTGAAATACATCCACAGCTTTTACTTACATCTTTCCTTCCCAGATTTTGCTCTGGGAATGCCGGCAAGGCTAAAAGGGATGAACAGGCATTTTTACTTGTTCTTAGTGAAATTTAACATCCTGTGCTTAGTACACTACAGATCTGCTAGAGAAGCGTTTCACAGGAACTCATGCATGATCAGAGCTGGCTCCCAAGACCGGAACCGAGATCAAGAGCTGGAGAGGTGTTGGACTGCAAGTTCCTTAGAGCCCCTTCCACTGCCTGGGCGGGCTACAAGGAACCTGGGGGGGGATTTTCCCAAAGGCAGAGAGTGATGGGACAAGGCGTAACGGGTTTAAATTGAAAGAGGGAGATTGAGATGGGACATCAGGAAGGAATTCTTCCCGGAGAGGGTGGGGAGGCACTGGGACAGGTTGCCCAGAGAAGCTGTGGATGCCCCATCCCTGGAAGTGTCCAAGGCCAGGCTGGATGAGGCTTGGAGCAACCTGGTCTAGTGGAAGGTGTCCCTGCCCATGGCAGGGGGTAGGAACTGGGTGATCTTTACAGTC